CCCCACAGAGCCCCATAAAACCCCACAGAGCCCCAGTAGATCCCCATAAGACCCAATAGAGCCTCATAAAACCCCACAGAGCCCTACAGAGACCCCATAGAGCCCCATAAGACCCCATAAAACCCCACAGAGCCCTCATAGAGCCCCATAAGACCCCCATAAGACCCCACAGAGCCCTCATAGAGCCCCATAAGACCCCATAGAGCCCTATAAGATCCCACAGAGCCCCAATAGATCCCCATAAAACCCCATAGAGCCCCACAGAGACCCCATAAGACCCCACAGAGCCCTCATAGAGCCCCATAAGACCCCATAGAGCACCATAAAGCCCCACAGAGCCCTATAGAGACCCCATAGAGCCCCATAAGACCCCACAGAGCCCCATAAGACCCCACGGAGCCCCGGCCGCACCCCTCCCGGCCAGCAGCAGGTCGGAGCGGGTCTGAGGGCCGGGCCGCTCCTTGGCGGGCAGCAAACGAAACTCGCGGCGGTGACGGGGATGGAAAAGCGGAGCGCAGAGGAAATCGAACCTAAAAACGACGCGGAGAGAGAGAAAAAAATATATAAAAAATAAACAAAAAAAAAAGGGGCCAAACGGGGAAAAATTCCTCACAGTAAAATAAAACCCTCCTCACCCCTGCCGGGCAACCGCCCCCAAAGCCGCCGCCACCTCCGGCACGCAGCCCAACTCCCGCCCGCTCGACACCCGCGCGGTGCCCGCAGCGCCCGGCCCCGCCGCCGCCATGCTGCCTCCTTCCTCCTCCCTCACGGAGCGGCGGCCAATCAGCGCGCGAGGCGCCTCAGAGAGGGGGTGGGACGAAGCGCGCGTGAGGCCAATCGGAGAAGGGTAAGGTCGGGAGGGCCAATCGGCGCGCGGGGTCTGTCAGGAGGGGGTGGGATGAGTGTGAGGAGGTGGCCAATCAGCGCTCGCGATAACGGAGAGAAAGGGGTGGGGCAAAGACGGAGCGCCGGCCAATCAGAAAGCGCGCTGCCTCGTGGAGGGGACGAAGCGGGCTCGCTGCTTCAGCCTATCAACGCGCGTGTTGCAACAGACGGGTCGGAACAGGTGGCTTGGACCAATCACGCGGCGTGTTACCTACGACGGGGTGAGATGGACAGGTGCTTGGGCCAGTCAGAACGCGACTTGCCGCTGAGGGACGCAGGATGGACGGGAGCTCGGACCAATCAGAGAGCGAGTTGCCTCAGCGGGAGGTGGGACAGAAGAGAGCGGGCAGCGTGAGGAGAAAGGCGAGAAAATCGGAGGCGAAAAAGGGGGAATTTGGGGGGAAAAACAAACCAAAAACGGACATTTTGGCTTTATGCGCTGTTTTTGGGGGGAGAAAAAGGTGCCGTATGGGGTAAAATGTGGAGGTTTGGGAGGAAAATGTGGCGTTTTGGGGTAAAATGTGGTGATTTGGGGGAAATTGTGGCGTTTTGAGGTAAAATTTTGGGGTTCCGGGGGGAAGTGTAGTATTTGGGGGGGGGGAAACGCGGTGCTTTGGGGGAAATTGTGGCATTTGGGAGCGAAACGTGGGGTTTGTAGAGAAACCGCGGCGTTTTGCTGCACGACGTCGGCTTTTATTGAGGAAAAAGGGACAATTTGGAAATCAAACGCGGGGTTTGGGGCCAAAAGGTGGCATAATCGTGGTTTTTCTTAGAAAAAAAGGCACTGCTGGGGGTAAAATGTGGCAGCGACTGTCACCATGGCAACCGCCATCATGGCGACAGCAGAGGCTGCCATCATCACCCCCCCCCCCATCATCATCCTGTCCCCGCAGCGTCCAATGGGAGGAGCGAATGGGGAAAGTGGGCGGGACCAAACGATGGGAGGAGCCAATGGGGAAAGTGGGCTGGCGGAAGCTATGGGAGGAGCCGAAGGTGGGATTCCACCAATGGGAGGAGCGAATGGGGAAAGTAGGTGGGCCCAAACGATTGGAGGAGCCAATGGGAAGGATTCCACCAATGGGAGGAGCCAATGGGGAAAGTGGGTGGGCCAAAACGGTGGGAGGGGCCAACGGTTGGAGTGGGCCGAAGCAGCCTATGGAAGGAGCCAATGAGGGAAAGTGGGCGGGTCCTTGGGATGGAAACCACAGGGAAACCAACCAATAGGAGGAGCCACTGGGAGGAAGTGGGCGGGACCAAACGATGGGAGGAGCCAATGGGGAAAGTGAGTGGGGGGAAGCTATGGGAGGAGCCAAAGGAAGGATCCCACCAATGGGAGAGGCCAATGGTTGGAGTGGGCGGAACCAGCCAATGGGAGGAGCCAATGAGGGAGAGTGGGCGGGCCTAAATGATGGGAAGAGCCAAGGGGGAAAGTGGGTGGGGGGAAGCTATGGGAGCAGCCAATGGACGGAATCCAACCAATGGGAGGAGCCAATGGGGAAAGTGGGCGGGCCTAAACGATGGGAGGAGCCAATGGGCAGGATCCCACTAATGGGAGGAGCCCATGGGAAAAGTGGGCGGGTCTAAGCGATGGGAGGAGCCAATGGGAGGAGCCAGTGAGCAGAATGGGCGGGCCCAAGCGACGGGAGGAGCCAACGGGGCAGGGGGGGAGAATGGGCGGAGCCAGAGAAGGGGAGTGGGCGGGCTCAACCGATGGCAGGAGCCAATGGGACGCCTCCACCAGCGTGAGGAGCCAATGGGAGGAGCCGATGGGGGGCTGGGAGCCCTATGGCTGTCCTTGCTGTTCCCCATTGATGTCCCCATTGTCCCCCAGGTGCTGCAGCGCCCACTGGCGGTGCCGGATTTCGTCCTGTAGCCGTCGGTACTCCTCGGCCGTGGCCACCAAATGGGGTCCGATGGCCACCATGGTCCCCAGCGCCTCCCGTAGGGCTGCCAGCTCCGATTGGGTGTTCGTGAGAGCGGCCTGCAGGTGGGACCTGGGGGGGAAGGGGGTGGGAAGAGCGTCTGGGGGGGCTCTATGGGGCACTTATGGGGTAGTTATGGGGCTCTATGAGACTCTACGAGGCTCCATGGGGTGTCTATGGGGCTCCATGGGGTGTCTATGGGGCTCTATGGGGTTCTGTGGGGTTTCTATGGGGTGTCTATGGGGCTCTATGGGGCACTGTGAGACTCTATGTGGCTCTATGGGGTCTCTATGTGTCCCTATGGGTCCCTGTAGGTCCCTATTTGTCTCTATGGATCCTTTATGTCTCTATGGGTTCTTATGGGTCCCTATGGGTCCCTATGGATCCCTATGGGGTCCCTATGTGTCCTTATGGGTCTCTATGGGTCCCTATGGGTATCTATGGGGTCTCTATGAGTCCCTTTGGATCCAGTGCCTCCCTATGGGTCCCTATGGATTCCTATGGGGTCCCTATGGGTCCCTATGGGTCCCTGTGGGTCTCTATGGATCCAGTGCCTCCCTATGGGTCCCTATGGATTCCTATGGGGTCCCTATGGGTCCCTGTGGGTCCCTATGGGTCTCTATTGGTCTGTATGGATCCAGTGACTCCCTATGGGTCCCTATGGATCCCTATGGGGTCTCTATGAGTCCTTATGGGTCTCTATGGGTCCCCATGGGTCCCTGTGGGTCCCTATGGGTCTCTACGGGTCTCAATGGGTCTCTACGGGTCCAGTGCCTCGCTATGGGTCCCCATGGGTCTCTACAGGTCTCTATGGGTTCCTATGGGTACCTATGGGTACCTATGGGTCCCTATGGGTCCCCATGGGTCTCTATAGTGTCCCTATGGGTTCCTATGGGTCCCCATGGGTCTCTATAGTGTCCCTATTGGTCTCTCTGGGTCTCTCTGGGTCCCTATGGGTTCCTATGGGTCCCTATGGGGTCTCTATGGGTCCCCATGGGTCTCTGCAGGTCTCTATGGGTCCCTATGGGTTCATATGGGTATCCATGGCTCCCTATGTGTCCCCATGGGTCTCTATAGTTCCCTGTGGGTCCCTATACGTCTCTATGGGGTCTCTATACGTCCCCATGGGGTCTCTATGGGTCTCTGTGGGTCCCTATGGGTCCCTGTGTGCCCCCACCTGATCCTGCTGTGGGCCTCCAGATGCTCCGGGCTGTACGTCTCCACCAGCAGCGTCAGCTCCTCCAACCTACAGGGCAGCAACAGCCCATAATAGTCAGCGTGACGTCATCGCGGCGACGGTGACGTCATCGCAGTGACGTCATCGCGGCGACGTCACCGGGATCGGAGAAGGGCCAATGGGGGGGGGATCCAACCAATGGGAGGAGCCGATGGATGCAGTGGGCGGGACTGAGAGATGGGAGGAGCCAATGGGGAGGGGGGCTCTGCTTGTGGGAGGAGCGGAGGGAGGGATCCGACCAATGGGAGGAATCAATGGGTGGGACCTAACAGGGGAGGAACCAATTAGAGGAGTTGGAGGACCCAAACTATGGGAGGTGCCGCTGTGGGGATCCAACCAATGGGAGAAGCCAGTGAGGGGAGTGGGCGGGTCCAACCGATGGGATGAGCCAATCTGGGGACTCTACTAGTGGGAGGAACCAAAGGGGGATCCAACCAATGGGAGAAGCCATTGAGGGCAGTGGGCGGGCCCAACCGATGGGAAGAACCAATGGGCGGAGTGGGCGGGACCAAACAACGTGAGCAGCCAATGAGAGAAGTGGGCGTGGGATAGAAACCCGTGAGACTCTATGGGGCTCTATGGGGTCCCTATGGGCTTCTATGAAGCTCTATGGGGTGTCTATGGGTCCCTATAGGGTTCTATGGGGTCCCTATGGGGCTCTATGGAGTTTCTATGGGGCACTGGGAGACTCTATGAGCTTCTATGGGGTGTCTATGGGTCCCTATGGGGCTCTATGGGGTTCTATGGGGCTCTGTGAGGTGTCTATGGGGCTCTACGAGGTTCTATGGAGTGTCTATGGGGTCCCTATGGGGCTCTATGGGGCTCTATGGGGTGTCTATGGGGCTCTATGGGGCTCTATGGGGTCCCTATGGGGCTCTATGGGGTGTCTATGGGGCGTCTATGGGGCTCTATAGGGTTCTATGGAGTGTCTATGGGGTCCCTATGGGGTCCCTATGGGGCTCTATGGGGTGTCTATGGGGCGTCTATGGGGCTCTATAGGGTTCTATAGGGTGTCTGTGGGGTTCTATGGGATGCCTATGGGGCTCTATGGGTCCCTATGGGGTCCCTATGGGGTTCTGTGAGGTTCTATGGGGTCTTTTGGGGCTCTATGGGGTGTCTATGGGGCTCTATGGGGTTCCTGTGGGGCTCTATGGGGTTCTATGGGGTGTCTGTGGGGCTCTATGGGGCACTGTGAGACTCTATGAGGTTCTATGGGGTCCCTATGGGGTTCTATGTGTCCCTATGGGTCCCTATGGGGTCCCTATGGGGTTCTATGGGTCCCTTTGGGGTCCCTATGGGGTCCCTATGGGGCTCTATGGGGTTCTATGTGTCCCTATGGGTCCCTATGGGTCCCTATGGGGCTCTATGGGTCCCTTTGGGGTCCCTATGGGGCTCTATGATCTTCTACGGGAAGAGCCATCGCGCCGAGAGGGCGGGATCAACGAACGGGACGAACCAATGGGAGGGTGAAGGGGTCGGAATCCCACCAATGGGAGGAGGCGGTGGGCGGGACCAGGCGGCCGTCACTCACCGCGCCTTGAGCAACATGGCGGCGCCCTTGGCCTGCAGGTAGCGGCCCCTGCGCAGCTCCAGCTCCGCCTGCCGGGCCTGCAGGGCCTTCAGCGCCCGCAGCAGCGACAGGCAGCGCTGCTCAGCCTGGGGGCGCAGGGGGGGAGGTTATGGGGTGGCCCCATAGGAAAACCCCATAGGGTGAGTTTATGGAGTGACCCCATAGGAAAACCCCATAGGATGAGTTTATGGAGTGACCCCATAGGAAAACCCCATAGGGATATGGGGTTATGAACCCATAACCCCATTCCCCACCCATAAGCCCATAACCCCCCCATAACCCCATAACCCCCCATAACCCCATTCCCCCCCCAACCCCATTCCCCCCCAATTCCCCCATTACCCCCCCAT